AAGGGGCAGGGGGAGGGGGGCGGCTTGCACCCGCACCCTCACTCGCATCACCATCACCACCACCACCACCATGTCTACGGTCGCCACCTCAGCCGCAAGTTCCTGACGAGGGAGTGGGATCACGTGCTTCACGTGGATCCAGAGGAGGTGAGAAGATGGCCTCACAACACGCGGCTCACAGGCGCGGTATCGGTACTACTATACTCGCGATTTCGGTACACGGCGAATTGTGTGTTTATTGCGTTATTTGTTCTTTTTTTGCGGTTTTTTTGCGGTTTTTCGAGCGTTTTTCGAGCGTTTTTAAGCACTCACGTCTTTTCGACTTGGCATTGTTGTTATGCCCCGCCAGTGTATGTATCATTACATAAATTTTACATAATTTTAAAAAGAAGGCTTATACGGCATATTGCGACATATCGCTACATGCATGCCAGGACATATATACATACATATATATATATAGCTTTAATCAACATGATCAGCTTTGAGATGCTTTGATGGCGACTGAATCCCTCCTGCTTAACGTCCCTGTCGTAATGTATACTATGCTACACATGTACGGCGGTACGGCACAGGTCCCCATTCCGCACGATGCCGATTACGATATCGAGCATCACTGGGGCGATGAGAAGGACATGACGGTGTCCAGCAGCTCCTCCAGCCATGACGACGACGGCTCCGACAGCGAGGAGAGCGATCACCACGTCGGCAGGAACACGGCGGGAGCTGCCGACAAGGTACTTGAGTTGGTTTGGGGTAGCGGGGGGCAGCTGGTGCTGGTGGGGGGCAGCTGGTGCTGGTGGGGGGCAGCTGGTGCAGAGCGCCCCTGCCTATTGGAATATCGAGAGTAGGGGTTGGGGGTTGGGAGGCAAGGGGGAGGGGGGGCAGAGTGATGGTGCAGAGTGCTGAGGCGGTGTCAGTGGCGTGACGCCCCCCCCTCCCCCCTCCCTCTCCCTCTCCCCCCCTTCCTGCCCCTCCTCCCCCCCCTTCCCCCCCCTTCCCCCCCCAGATGACCAGGGAGGAGGCCCTGCAGCGCAAGAAGACCATGGCCGCCATGGAGCCCGGCGAGCGAGCGCAGTACGTCAAAGGCGTGCGGAGGGTCAAGGAGTGGCTGGCGTCAGGATACTACTCGACAGGAAAGATGTAAGACTCA